AAAAAAAAAAAAATTAAGTAATTTACTTTGGGGCCAACGACAAAGCTGTGGGGGGTGGGTAGAGGATTCACCATAGACAGAGTGGGGAGCAGAACAGGCAGATGGCCTGAAATACACTGCTGAGGGGATCAGTGTGCAAAGCAGGAGAGGTCTGCTGCACCATGAGAATCACCTCCCCGACCAGGGATCTAACTCATGTTGCAGCAGATGCGAACAGCTCCACAGTGCTGAGGTTTACCCCCTGTGCCACCAGGGAGCCCCCTAGTTAAGCTTATTCTTAAACTCAAAAAACTAAAACGTCTACACTAATGATTCAGGGGGGTGCAGGGAATCTTTTTCTTATATGGAGTTAACAACCTCGCTATGACTGACTTAGGTGTCAATAAAGTATTAAATGGGTACTTTTAACGGTGACTCTGTCTCTTTCAGAAAGAAGCTATGTAAGTGCCAAATAAAGCTGTTATTTTTCACATTTGTTAGAAGAATGCAATCATTTTGTGCAGATGGGGAGAAATCTGAAGACAGTACCTTGCAGGTGCAGCTGTGGAAGGAGGCTTCTCAGGGGCCTAGGTATTCACAAAAGAAGAGAACCAGGAAAAGAACAATAAACAGGTTAGGAAAAGCAGCTCAGAAATAGATTTCAAAGGATTCCTGATATTCTAAAGTGCACAAAACTTACTTGTTCGCCATCACTGTCCTCACTGTCACTGAGCTGGAGATCATCTTCAAGCATTCTGAATTTGAGGGGTGGGGAGAGTGAGGAAAGGGGACAGAGACATCACAGAATTTAAAATCATTTCTGATACCTTCTTTTAGCATGTTAATAGAAAATATAATGCCACAAAAAGAATAATGAGATAGGTATATGTTTTATTTATTCATCAACTATTTTATTTTCCTGTTAATCTACTTCTTAACCATTGTTACACAGATTAGTTTGTATCCCAGTTTCTTACTATCTCAAAACAGAATCTCATGTTCTGAGCATTAAAAAAATCACAGAATAAGGATTTGTTGTCAGTTCTATGACTAAAGAGCCCAAACTAATCAGTAAGGACAGGATCCACCAAAAAAAAAAAAAAAA